TCTATCGTTTCTTTTACAACTGCGCGAAGAATTCTTGCTTCCTAAAAATGTCATGCACACTATTTCTAGTTATATTGTGACGCTGTTAAGCCATACGCAGAGTTTATTGGGGAATAAGACGTTTAGTTGTTCTGCACATATTTGCTCCTGTTTATCATCAACGTCTTACAAAGTGAAAGATAAGGAAATCATTGAATTTGATGGAGTAAAACATACATTAAATGACGTTTGTAATGCGATTGAGTCAATCAATAAGAATGAATATCAACTGATCAAATATTGTGAAGAGTATTTTGGATGTGAGATATTACTACCATGACCGGTTTCGAACCTTTCATAGTTCGTTACCGAATGGCTTAGAACTTGAAAATGATTTGAAAAAAGCTTTTATTACCTGTGTGGATATGGTTAATTGCTTTGGATGTTGAAATATACTCCATGTGCAGATGTGTTTCTTGTAGAGGAGAAATCTAAAAGATAATAGCAATAATATGATAAAAGTGTTTACGAGAAGCTTACTTGTTAGTGAAACTGTATTAAATGGTAAAGGCAATGAATAAAATTGGTGTCTTATATAGATTGAAGAGAGAGAGCGAAGAGGAACTGAAATGTGATGGAATTCGAGAAAAACTGCTTATTTTTTGTGGGAAATATTTCGTTGTCCACCATTTTCTCACGAGGGAACCACCCGAGGTGTCAAAAAGCTTTATGGTTCAGAGTGTGATGGGTATCCAGAGCATACCTAGGTGTGATATATCCTAAGTTGGTTCGTGCGCAAGTTGCTTTTAGCAAAAGTTATCAACTTTTCAAGTTACAAGCGATATTTACAGTTTTACCAAAAATTCAAATTTTTCTATATAAGAAACTGAGTGCAGTTTACAAACTTTTTATTTACATTATCAGACATGGATCTGGCTCGTTTTTTTTCAAATCGAGATGATTCCAGACTCGCGATTTTACTTTATCAGCTAATTAGAAAAGGTTCGTTAAAAAATGCTACGGATTCTGCTGGAATTAATTAATTATTTGCTGTTGAAAACTAAAGCTTGGTCTTTTTCTGTCTTTTTTTCAACATTTTTGAATATAAAATTTTCTTGAATGTATGCGTAATTACTATGGCAAAAATAGCAAGCATAATGGAATAACGATGAAAATAGAACACTGGTTTAGATTAGCCAGATATCATGGATATGAAAATTGAGGGAAAAGTCCTGAAAACAAAATATTTTGCTACAGTGACTACATCGAATGAATGCATACTGATCACATGAATGTACGTCACAGTAATCTTGTTTGAATGTGAAGCATACTTGTGTAACTGATTGAAATGGTCTAGGATCAACATCAGTGTATCCACTTTTGAACCATGCGTATCGCATCAGAGGAACGAAAACTGAAGAAGAAAGCTGATTATGAATAATCGATTGTAAGCGAATTATATTATTTCATCAAGAGGAACACGCTCGTGAACCCCTACGAACGATCACTTTCCATTGTCTATTAAAGAAGACGTCCAGCGGCTGAATGGTAGATGTTGTTTTCCATGGAATTTCTAGTCGCTTAAGTCCTTTAATTGATTCATAAATGCCTTTTCCAGATGTCTGTCCAGGCCAACTATCGGAAAGAAGTAATACAGACTGTGATGTCAGTGATGGAATAAGACACTCCTTACGCCAATATTCAACTAATGACGTAGTTAATTTTCCTGATGCGCTGCATGTAACAACAACATTCTTCAACTGCGGAAGATTTGCTTTAATATTATCGCTCATGCGACCATTTACTTCTTTGAGACATATATAAACAGGGCCGAAGATCTTACCACTCAAGGTGATCGTCGGTTGAACCGTATAACTATGAGTAGTTGCATTTACTGAACGTACGGTGGCAAGTGTTGTCTTTTCTCCTTGATATGAGAGAGTTCGAGTTGAGGGAAACTCAAGCTGAAGTCCTGCTCGATCTGTATTCAATACGAAATCTTCATTATAATAAGGTAACAGTGATTTAACTTCAGAAACAAATTGATCAGCTGATTTTTTAATTTCAGCTTCATTGACAATATCACGCTTTGTTACTACCTAGAAAAGAAGCGATTTACAGATCAACTTATCATATAAAACTTTCGTATGGTTGGTATGATTTGTTTCCTAACCTTTATAATTTTCGTCGAGCAAATATTGTGTTCGTGTTTAAAATTCAAGATCCGATGATCTGACATCACGAAACCATGCAATGACATCATCTTTGCTCTTCGTACAGCCCATCTTTTTAAATCAATATCATGTACTGCACAAAGGAGATCCCGAGCACGCTCGAAGTTGTTATAAACGTAGTCGTCGGCTGAATCCACCTTTTGTTTCTTCGTTCGCCCTTTCTCAGTATAGTCTCGGAAGCGGGACTTATACGATTGATCTTTGATCGTTTTAAATTTGTTCTGAACATTTCTCCATGTATGAGATAGTTTTCCTGTTTTCGGATTAATTGCATCATAATAATCAAGCGCTCGCTTCATATATGACAAAGAAAATGATTCGAGCACCGGACTTTCTTCGTCTTTTGCTTCGTAGTCCAAATCTATCTCGCATTCCTGAATTTCATTTTCTTCATTGTATGACGTGATTGCCCATATTGACTCGAATACATTAAACAACTGATCAGCAATTTCATTTTCCTGAACGTACGTAAATGATGACGAAACTGGAAGTTCTTTACGTGTTCGTTCTTGGAACAATTCCATTATTCGGTTTATTTCACTAATTGTTTTTTTTCAGATTGTGATAAAACTGCGTGATATATTACTATGTATTCTTGAATGAGAGTTTTTCTTTTTCTTTTCACTCACTGCACCATTCTACGCATACTATAACACAAATAACGACTGATAAATGATAAATAGTTTCTTTCACACACTCTCCTTCTTTATTTGATACTCACACATGTACAGAATAGGATAAATTCATTTCATTCTCAAAAATATACCCATCAGACGAATAAAAACGTTGAAATTAATCATATATATATATATATAACACTTTAAAAATAAACACTTTTTCTTATATAGAAAAATTTGAATTTTTGATAAAACTGTAAATATCGCTTGTAACTTGAAAAATTGATAACTTTTGCCAAAAACNATCACAAAGATAGATTGGGGGAGTAGTACTATCGTTATTCTTCAATGTAGAAGACGTTTAACTACATTGTATCATTCTCCAAAAATGTGTCGTACACTATACAGAATATAATCTTTTATACAGGACGGAAAAGAGAAGAGAAAAACAGTGACAGTACAAGGTAATATTCATAATGCGAACATTAGTAAGAAAAGAACATTGCGCAAGGACACTAATTCATAACTGATGTCTCCGAATGATAACTTATAAGATATATTATCTAGATAGACGTGCCTGTTCGCACATACAGTTTGTAAAACACGTTTTTTAACTAGATTCTTCTATTGCTAAAAAAAACTAATCAGAAAAAAACATTGTTTCCTGATCTTTTTCACGTATTTATTCAGTTACCCCACAACGCTTCACTTTATACGCAATTGCACCAAATGGGGTAATTGGAAACTTTTTTTGAATAATTGTTTGATCAATTATACCCAAACAAAGACTGTTAAAAGAATTTTTAATGAAAAATAGTTAGTAACTGTAAATAATGATCTATTCTATCGGTTTATGAAAAAAATTTCAATTAACCTTTTTTAATTCATCAGAAAAGCTAATTTTAATTATTAACAGTAAAATGCATGGGTTTATTCAATTGCCCCTCATTACTCTATTCATTCACTAGTTACCGATTTAATTCAAACTATGACTACTTTCATATGCTTATCGAACAATGATTTGTTTGATTGCATGGATGATTTATACTTTATCTGTTAAACGTTATTGAGATCACAAACCGGTGTCTCGTCTAACTACTTCTTTATGAAGTACAAAATTTGGAGAACAGTCTTAGTTGATATATTGAAGGTTGAATATTGAAAATAATGCAGACAAGTGCGTATACAACATTGTTAACCTATTTTATTCGATGTGATCCTCATTTCATTCCTGATGGATGACATTTGTATTTGATCTCGTCACAAGTAAGTATACAAATTTATTTTAATTCATATGACACTCGTATCGATTAAATTTAATACTACACATCAATCAAGACGCATTTTTCAATTCTCTTAACTGTTTCATTACATTTAATATGGTACACGATCTTTGAATAAACATGAAGATAAATATGTAATAGTTCTTTTTATTCTTCTATTCAATTCGTTTGTCGCATGCACTAACAGAATGAAAGAAAAAGTCCAACTACACTCATACTTTAAACTTTATGTGAAATAGATAAAATTTTCATTGCTTTTTCGCTTTAATTCATAGACATGTGAGTCATGAAAATGTGATAATGTAGTGTCTTTTTGTATTGTAGGTTACTAAATTTTGCGAATTTTAATAATCTAGAATTATAAAACAATAGACATTGTTAAGAATTTCAAAAAAATGAAATTTAATAATTTTATAGCTAACGTTTTGTATTTAAATATTTTCTTTTTAAGATTTCGGTTTATTAAAATGGCTGAATCAACTACTGACAAAATAAATAATGATATTTCCATTCCTGCTGTGATGAAAGCGGCTCAACAAAGTAGTTTTGGAGATATACGTGATGTTCTTACACTTGGTGAGAATATACGTGTACCTCGTCAATTATCATCTAAACAAATACTTGTTCGAGTATGTGCTGCTGCAATAAATCCGGTCGATTGGAAAATTTTGAATGGAAAACTATCACTTGTTACTCGATATTCATTTCCTCATATACCAGGTACTGATGTTGCTGGTGTTGTTGTTGCTATTGGTTCTGGTGTGAAACGTCTTAAAATTGGTGATAAAGTATATGGAGATCTTGAAATTCATGGTGGTAGTTATGCTGAATATGTTCGTGGACCTGAATCATTATTTACAGTGAAACCAAATAATTTAACAATGGAAGAAGCAGCTGCTATACCTTTAGCATGTGATACTAGTTATCAAGCATTATTTAAAAAAGTTTCACCTCCGATTGGAAAAGGAAGTAAAGTATTTATCTGTGGTGGTAGTACAGCAACTGGCTTATATGCGGTTCAATTAGCTAAAGCAGTTGGAGCTTATGTTACAACTACATGTTCACCAAGAAATTTTAGTTTAATGGAAAAACTTGGTTTTGTATTTTATTATTTATTCTATAGAATTTGTATTTTTTTTTATTCTTTCTATAGGATATACAATAACACAAACAAACGTTGAAACAAGTAATGATCAAAATCAATTACATGTTATTGATTATACTGAAAAAGATTTTGGAGAAGAACTTAAAGGTAAATAGATTTATTTACTAATTTATTTTATCTTATTTTTATTTTCAGATCAAAATTATGATGTTGTATATGATTGTGTTGGTGGTGCAGAACAATGGATATCAGCACAAAAAATATTAAAACGAGGCGGAAAATTTATTACTATTGTTGGGGATGATACATCATCTGTTATTTCATTAAAAACATTAATTGAAATGGGTTTCACTATAGTAAATAGAAAATTTTGGTCTGTTTTTGGTTCAGCTCATCATGCTTATATACGTCATGTATTATCTGAAAATTTTCAAGATCTTGATGATATTCGAACAAAATTCATTGAAACAAACAAAGTTAAACCATTGATTGATACAGTATTTGATTGGCGAAAAGATGGTGTAGAAGCTTTATATTCGCTTTATGAAAAATCTAAAAGTGGAAAAGCACAAGGGAAATTAGTTCTTAAAATAGCTGATGAAGAATGATTAAAGACTTTTTCTTTTATCAAAATAAATTAATAAAGAGATTCTTTTGTGAAAGTTTATTATTTGTTATTGGTCGGTGTAGATTTATTTTCTTTTAAGTCACACCCTCACCCACACCCTCACCCTTATTTCGACCACTGCATACATTCGCTTGTGCATATATGTAGTGTTCATTGGAAACGTTGTTGATAGACTGTCTGTTGAGACTGAATCAGTATCATAAAATAGTTATCTAAAGACTCCATTCATGCCGTTAATTAATCCCAGTTCAATAGCAATATTTCGTGTAAGAATAACTGGCATTCCAGGAACTAACGGTAACAAACCCGGTAAGTGCTCAGTTTTACTGTCAGATAATTCCGATAATTTTTTTTACAAGTATCGACTCTTCCACAGGTTCGCCTTTACAAAAGTCCTGGGCAACACATACCATTAGATTGCAAGCTGCTTATTCACGAAGAAATACTGATGACTGTCCGACAACGGGCGTGAAATAACAATTCATAATCTTCATAACCACATTGACCTTAACGAAGTCGTTCAAGTAATTGAAGATATCGTGTGTCCTCTATTCGCATCTGTTGAGTAAGTTTGGCCACACACTTAATTTGCAGAATTAACGAACGTGCAACACATTGTTGGATTTCTTTTGGTTTTCCGGGGAAAAGTCAGTGTGTAATGGGGCATCGTATACGGATCGGTACTGCGAATAATCACTAAAGAATATAAATAATGCTCGTCAAGGCAGACTCGCTTTATCCTCGACTGATTTTTTAAAAATAAACGTCATATAATGGAATGGTTTCTTGAAACGTTTTTTATTTCGAGAAATTGAAGATGGTATTCACATATAAAATAACATTAGTTTTCAGTTAACAATACGAATTCCACAATACGAAAACAAGTTTAGTGACAAAAATAAACCACCTTTACTCATAACTGAAAACATTTAGAGACTTAGATAATGCTCGCCGAGGCAGAGTGGCTTAGCTCTTCACTGGTTTTCTTTTCATTCCACTCATTTCGTAAAGACTTTTCAGAAGATATATCAAACCATTCATCTCGCAGTGGGTCGTCGACTCGATAGTGGGCATTATATATATAGCCTATACAAAGGGCACGCGTCTTTCTCTTCGACACTTCGAAAACAATTAANTTAGATAATGCTCGCCGAGGCAGAGTGGCTTAGCTCTTCACTGGTTTTCTTTTCATTCCACTCATTTCGTAAAGACTTTTCAGAAGATATATCAAACCATTCATCTCGCAGTGGGTCGTCGACTCGATAGTGGGCATTATATATATAGCCTATACAAAGGGCACGCGTCTTTCTCTTCGACACTTCGAAAACAATTAAGCTACTTCAGCAAAATCATAAATAAAGAAGGCTTTCAGATAGCAACTGGCGTTCATTTACTGGAGGTTATGGAAGGAGAATCACACAGCTAAATAATATAACGTCTTGAATGACTGGTTTCCTGATTCATTCATCGTAGATATCCAATTTGTGAGCTTTAAAGACCGTGATACCTGATTGGCCAATTTCACAACCCCTCACAGTTATCGATTCGCTTCATCGATCTTCGAATTCTATTTGTGAAATCACCATCAATGTTGCCTTTTGACTCTGACACAAGCACATCCCCATATACAGTATTTGTCGTCATATGACCCTCTCTCCAAACCAGAGAATATCTAGTGTGTACATATGCATATCCATAATATCTTATCATATTAGTCAATTTATTGCTGTGGCCAACGTCTGTTTAAGACCTAAGACTCTTTCCCTGGCATATAAAAACTAGACTCGGTTAATCTTTTAGCGAACTCCAAACAATATTTTGTTAAATTTTGAACATTTTCGAAAAGAATGTTTTTTTACCTTTGACCTCTGATCTTGCTACAGACAGACAAACTATTTTTTTTGTATGACCCTCCTTTCAGTCGAGGGAATAACGTTTATACCACCGAATGGAATTTGCGGATCGGCATGTTTAGCGGCACAAAGAATTCGATTGAGTCTGCCGAGCAAATTCAAACCAACCATACTCATTTCATCAATCAAGAGATATTCTACAAGCGTCCATTCTTTTTTGAAGTTTCTAGTCGCCCGATTTAATAGTTCGTGGCTTTCCAGAATTGGGCTGCTCGTCTAAAAATGAACGAATAGTCATGCCATCAATTTCAGCAGCTGCTAGCTTTCTCATCTTTTGTATTCTGTTTGTGACAGGAAACTATTCGGTAACGGCACGAATAAGTTTTGATTTTCCTGTAGCACCACACGAGAATATACACATGATAAGTTGCCCAGTGCTGTCCCCTATATGAATGATATCTTTCAGTTTATGATAATAAACATTAGGTCAATTCGTGGCAGGCCTGAATGAGATATCAAGGTCGATTATTCGGGTTTTGAGAGGAAGATGTAATTGATGTATTTGCGTTGATGCACTTGGTTGTGCTTGTCCAGGAGTATGTGTAGGTCAGAAAGAAATGGTATTTAGGTGCTGGATTTTCATTTTGGCTCTCGTCTCGCATGGAAATGTTGACAGTTTATTCCGTTGACAAGGAACTAGATCCAGTTGGATGTTAAATGATATAGTTTTCATCGATGTGAAGGCTAATATGGTTTCGGTCTATATACAGTTAAGGCGGATTTGCGTAGTTGGATTGAGTTTCCTTATAAAGGGATCATCGGGGTTTAAGTGGTGAGTAGTGATCTTTTGGGTCACCGCTGATCGTATTTCCTTTTGATAGCGACAAAATAAAGTGGACATTAATGAGTTTCGTCCTTTCTTGTACTTTTTATTCTTCTTCTTCCCTCTTTCCTTTGACAACATATTTCAGAGTTCTTGTTATCCATAGTCACAGTGTGGAGCATATATTTCGCAGTCCTTGCTTTTCTGACTATATACTAACACTGGCGCGGATATCCGCTGGGAATTAAGAAATATTTTAATCGGACTTCAACGCTAACTTTGCAACGTCACACGCTCAAGATGGTTTTATAAATTCTGCAATCCTCTCGAACAGTATCATAGATTGCCTGCAGGAAATACGGGATTGTGAAATATACTTAGAATATGTAGATTGTTGTCTATGAGCGCTCAGACGGCCTTTGGCCGGCTTCGCTATCATCTTCCAGTCTCACCCTGCTCCTATGTACTTTTGCTGGAAAGATAAAATTCGGAACACGTCTTCTTGTAACGATCATTACTTAGCGATATTGTGATATTATTCTCTGAAAAACAAATCGATTGATAGAGAAATGAAGCATTTCTTATAACGTTTAGAATTGATGCTGGAATTACGGGCAGTCGCTCTATATGTTGTCATTTTTTGACACGTGTTTCATTTGCATAATGAATGCGTGTCGATAGGAGAATGTTCACACTGTTGATGAAGTTTTTCACGCGTGAAATTGATTCCTCACCAAGTAAACTGAAAGCAGATATTTATGTATATGACGGCAATACTCCAAAATGAGCACCGAAACATGTTTTGGATGAATTTAGAATATAGAAAAACAGTCCTTAGTTTTGCATCAACTCAATAAAATTAATTATTCTTTTTTGTTTTTATGCGCAGGATAATCTGTTTGTCCCTCTTAATAATAAATACGCTTCAAATAAAATAAATATTTTTTTTCTTAATTAAAATGTTTGATTTATAAATATGTAGGTAAGTATATTTTATTTACAAAATGCATTATATTATTTACAATAAATGAATGAAGTAATGTGGATCATGTAAACATCAGAATATGAATATAGTCCTTTACTTAAATGCTAAATTATCTCAACAGTTACTTCAATCAACGGATCAAACTGACGGCTTTTATTTAAGTTTTATGGGATATAAATGTAATCGTCGGAATTTATGGGACAGTCTGATCTTTTTTTTAATTTCTTTCTCTTTTTGATGTTTCCTCTTCAACTTCTAGAGCTGTCAGACTTCTTTGTATTACTTGACAATGACGTGCATCAATAAAACCTCTGGTAAAGCAGTTAACAGTGTGATGCGCAATTTAATTTTTTTTGAAAAAAAATCTTTTGCAAGAGAAGAGCATTTCTTCTGCTAATTAGAATATGAATAAAAAAAGTATTAAACCCTAGTCTATGCATTGGTTTTCTATGTTATACTTCCTCTCAGAAATCTTTTGAAAGTTAAATTTTTCCTCGTTGTCTTTAGCTCAATTTATAGTTTCTCTAAATAATAAACGCTTGTCTTGTTACTATTTTTTTATGTCAACAAGGATATTACTTTTAATTCTGTAGAATACATACATACGTTTTTTTATTTTAAACTTAGTATGTCACAACAAGCATTAGCTCAACAAATTCGTTTCATAGGAGAAAAAATACAGATTATATGCTGGTATTTTCAACTTAATTATTGGAATTATCAGTAATATTTCGATAATTGTAGTATTTACTACTTTACGACTTTTTCGAGCAAATCAAACGGCTTTTTATTTTATTGCTGAATCTATTTCTAACATTGGGCTACTGCTTACTTTAAATATACCAAAAATTTTTACATCTGTTGTTAAGTATGATTGAGTTGAAAGTTANATTGATTATACTGAAAAAGATTTTGGAGAAGAACTTAAAGGTAAATAGATTTATTTACTAATTTATTTTATCTTATTTTTATTTTCAGATCAAAATTATGATGTTGTATATGATTGTGTTGGTGGTGCAGAACAATGGATATCAGCACAAAAAATATTAAAACGAGGTGGAAAATTTATCACTATTGTTGGGGATGATACATCATCTGTTATTTCATTAAAAACATTAATTGAAATGGGTTTTAGTATAGTAAATAGAAAATTTTGGTCCGTTTTTGGTTTAGCTCATCATGATTATATACGTCATGTATTATCTGAAAATTTTCAAGATCTTGATGATATTCGAACAAAATTCATTGAAACGAACAAAGTTAAACCATTGATTGATACAGTATTTGATTGGCGAAAAGATGGTGTAGAAGCTTTATATTCGCTTTATGAAAAATCTAAAAGTGGAAAAGCACAAGGAAAATTAATTCTTAAAATAGCTGATGAAGAATAATTAAAAACTTTTTCTTTCATCAAAATAAATTAATAAAGAGATTCTTTTTTAAAAGTTTATTACTTGTTATTGGTGGGTGTAGATTTATTTTCTTTTAAGTCATGCTCATATCCACACCTATTTACTGTGAATCACTTTTGTCATCTTCTATACAATGATATCGTAACTATTGTTTTTGCTGAAAACATGAATATATAACCGATTTATTATTGATTTTCCTTTATTTTACATGAGAGAAAATGCTTTCCAATATGAAGTTTTCTTTATTTGTTTTTCCATGAAATAAAGATAAATTGAAGATGTAATAAACAACTACATGAAAGAAAACAAATAGTTTCGTATAGTTGTAACTAATCTCTAAAGAAGTAAATATGGAGTATAAGCGAGTAAGAATAAGAAGCGTGAAAAAAAAACATAATAGCTGCAATAAAATTGAAAACAACGAAGTAATAGAAAAAAGATTTAACCATACAAGATGTTTGTGTAGTTACAAGTAATGCAGATGAATCCGACGAGCAAAATAGATGACAAAAAGTGGTGATTTGTCTTTTCTATCGAATTTGTCAAAACCATTCTGAGAAACGCTTCTGTGTTTTCATGTAGAGTTTATCAAGTCTTTGTATCTCGGCGACTTGAGATTTACTGGGTTTGATCAGTAAGACTTTGTAATCAAAATGTCGCAGAATAATTAAATCGGTTAAACGTTTGACTCTTGATAATGGCACATAGACTGCAGCGATGTCATATGTATCCTTTGGTAACTTTAAATCAATTACAACTTTGTTTAATGTTTACCTCTGACTTTTATGGGTTGTGATAGAATAGGCGGCTACAAGAGGTAATGCGCGTCGCTTAATCGATAACATTGCCTTTCTAGTTGTTTCTGATTTTTTTTATTGAACTTCGGAAGAATATTAGAAATCTTTAGCTAAAATATTTGTCCCGTTATTGACATTGGGGTAAGTTTTGGTTGGAGTTTTTCAAGGTTGCACTCAATTTTGGATTTGCTTATTTTGATCAATGCATATATTGGCATGTGCACATACTGCATGTTCACTGGAAACGTTTTTGATAGACTATCTGTTGACACTGAGTCAAGATCATAGACTACACTGAAAAAAAATAAGGTACTCTACCAAACCCATCAAAAAGGTTTCGTACCTTATTTTTTTCAGTGCGATTATTCGGGTTTTGAGAGGAAAGATGTAGTTGAGGTATTTGTGCTGATGCACTTCGCTGTGCTTGTTCAGGAGTATGTGTAGTTCAGAAGGAAATGTTTTTTAGGTATTGGATTTGCGCTTTGGTTTTTGTCTCGCGTGGAAATGTTAACAGTTTATTCCGTTGAGAAAGAAATAGATCCAGTTGGACGTTAGATGATATAGTTTCCATTGAAAGTCTTATCTTGATACAAAGATATTGTTTTCATCAATGTGAAGTCAAATATGGTCTCGATCTGTATGCAGTTAAAATGGATTTGCATTGTGCCATAGGTTTGTGTGAGAAATTTTCATTTGCGTAGTTGTGTTGAGTTTCGTTATAAGGGGATCATCCAGGCTTAAGTGGTGAGTAGTGATCTTTTAGGCCACTCCTCATCGCGTTTTCTCTTGGTGGAGAAAACACAAAGTGGGCATTAATGTGTTTCGTCATTTCTTGTACTTTTTATTGTTCGTCTCCCTCTTTTCTTCGACAAGATATCTCAGAGTTCTTGCTATCCATAGTCCCAGTGGGAGCATATATTTCGCAGTTCTTGCTTTTCCGACTATATACTAGCACTGGCGCGGATACCCGCTGGGAATTAAGAAATATTTTAATCGGATTTCATCGTTCACTTTGCAACATCACACCCTCAAGATGCATAAGGAAGAGAAAAATAATTATACAAACTGTCTTCCTGGTTTTATAAATTCTGCAATCCTTTCAATCAGTATCATAGATTGTCTGCAGGAAATACGGGATTGTGAAATATAAATAGAACATGTAGATTGTTGTCTATGAGTGCTCAGACGGTCTTCGGTCAGTTTCGCTATCACCTTTTGGTCTCACCTTGTTCGTACCTCCTCCAATCACCATTCACCCTCACCCTGCTTCTATGTATTTTTGCTGGAAAGATAGAATTCGGAACAGTGCAGAAAAGATGAAAATATGGAGTAGGTCCTCTTGTAACGATCATAACTCAGCGATATTATGATATTTTTCGCTGAAAAAACACATCAATTGATAGAGAAATGAAGCATTGCTTTTAAAGTTTCAAATTGATGATGAAATTACGGTCAGTCACTCTATATGTCGTGATTTTCTGACACGTGTTGCATTTGAATAATGAATGCGTGTCGATAGGAGAAATTTCACACTGTTAATGGAGTTTTTTACACACGAAAGTGATTGTTTACCAAGTAAATGGAAAGCAGTTATCGATATAGGTGGCGGTTATACTCCAAAATGAACACTGAAACATGTTTTGAGTGTACGTTAGTGTTGTATTGTTGAATAAATTTAGAATATAGAAAAACAGTCGTTAATGTGCATCAACCCAATAAAAGTGATTATCCTTTTTTGTTTTTGTGCGTAGGATAATCTGCCTGTCAATATTAATAATAAATTCGCTTCAAGTAAAATAAATCTTTTTCTTGCTGATTAAAATGTTTGATTTATGAATATGTAGATAAACAGACCTTATTTAGAAAATGCATTATATTATTTACAATAAATGAATGAATTAATATCGATCCTGTAAACATCAAAATATGAATATAGTCTTTTACTTAAATGCTAAATTATCTCAACAGTTACTTCAATCATCGCAATTAAACTGACGGCTTTTATTTAAGTTTTATAGCATATAAATGTAATTGTCGGAACTTATAGGACAGTCTGATCTTTTTTTAAATTTCTTTCTCTTTTTGACGTTTCTTCTTCAACTTTTAGAACTGTCAGACTTCTTTGTATTACTTGACGATGACGTGCATTGATAAAACTCCCGGTAAAGTAGTTAGCAGAGTGACGCCCAATTAAATTTTTTTTGAAAAAATCTTTTGCACAAGAAGAGCATTTCTTCTGCTAATTAGAATATGAATAAAAAACGTATTAAACCCTAGTCTATGCATTGGTTTTTTAATGTTATACTTTCTCTCAGAAATCTTTTGAAAGTTAAATGTTTTTTTCGTTGTCTCTAGCCCAATTTATAGTTTCTCTAAATAATAAACGCTTGTCTTGTTATTATTTTTTATGTCAACAAGCATATTACTTTTAATTCTATAAAACACATACATACGTTTTTTTATTTTAAACTTAGTATGTCACAACAAGCATTAGCTCAACAGATTCGTTTCATAGGAGAGAAATACAGGTTATATGCTGGTATTTTCAACCTAATTATTGGAATTATTAGTAATATTTCGATAATTGTAGTATTTACTACTTTACGACTTTTTCGAGCAAATCAAACGGCTTTTTATTTTATTGCTGAATCTATTTCTAACATTGGGTTACTGCTTACTTTAAATATACCAAAAATTTTTACAGCTTTTATTAACTACGATCCAGCTCAAAGTTCAGTGATCTGGTGCAAATTACAAACCATGCTGTTACAAGCATTCGCTTTATTTTCTTTATTTAATATATGTTTTCTTTCGTTTGATCAATATTTGTCAACTAATGCACGAGCTACATGTCGACAAAAAAGTACACTCAAACTAGCTCATCGACTAACAAGTTTTAATGTGTGTTTTGTGATTTTACATGGTGTAACAGCTCTCATATTCACCGAAATCCAATCATCAATGGGTTGTAATGTATACAATCCAATAGCACGACGTTATTACACGTTTTTCTATTATCCAATTTTAGCTAATAGTTTTCCCTTAACCTTTATTCTTACGTCAAGTTTATTAGCTTATCGTAATGTTCGTAGGATAATTCGTCTACAACAGCCAGTCTTTCGTCGGCGTCTTGATTCTCAATTGACAGCAATGACTTTAGCACGTGTAATAGTTCTTGGTATATGTGGTTTTCCATACATTATTATTTCTTTATATCAGCTTAATCTAAGTATCACTGCAGATGATTATATGAAAATAGCAATCATTACTCTATTATCAATAATATTTGCATCTCTGTTACATGTTAATTTCACGGTAAATTAAAACAAATAGTTTATTTTAGTATTCTCGGCATTGCTTTTCACATTTACTATTATTCTAGATCAATTTTTATATTTTTATACTAATATCATCGCGTTTTCGTCGTCAAGCAAAAATGGTTTTGATGAAAAAGTCTTGGCGATCAATCCAACGGTGTTTTAACAAAATATCAACAAATATTCGTATGAATAGAATTTCTCCTGGAAAATCTCCGCCAAATAGTTCTAATAACACACCAGAATGATGTTTTATTTTACGTGTAAAACCGATGTATCAGTGTCAATCGAAATAAAGTAAATAATCTACTGCAAAAAAAACCTTTTTAATTGCAAATTAGTTTAAAATTTGATTAATAGGAATTAACTAAACGAATTAAAATATCTAAATAATGTAAAAAGTAATATAACACAAAATTTTGCATAAATAATCTTTATGATTAAATATTTCCGAATTGACAGGATAAGCTGCATATGTCTCATTTGTTTTTCATATGACGATTGTTACTACTTTACTGATTAATTTACTTGTTGTTATGCTTTCTTCTTAGTTAAATTATCACGTGAAGTTTTAAGTTATGCAAATCATTTAAAAGAAATTGATTACTCACATGTAAGAGTGACTTCTGAAGCGCCAAAAATAAGATCGTGATTAAAAAGCAGAAAACAGCGGAAGTCAAAAATATCCTGAAAAATTGGACGAGATCTTTGATGACATAAACGTCTAGTGCGATAGCAATTAGGAAACATAGCTATCATACGAATTAAAAGGATCCCTATATTCTTGGACTTTGCAACAATAACACTCTTTAGTCACAGCGTTGACTATTTGAGCACTTACGTACAAATGTCTAACTTAAGATTTTGACAATGTAATTTAGTCATTTGACTTCGTATATATAAATAAAAAAAGAAAAATTTCAATATATTTTCATTTCATAGAGCTTACCCATAACAAAAAACTGGCAATTTTCTATTCAACATTTTTCATATCGAGTCAAATCAATATGTACAATATATTCGATGAAAGAGTCTTATATCTAGCTTTCTTTTATTCCTATTAACAGTAATATTCGCACATTTGTAAAATCATAACTGTCTATTTTTTTCTATCTTCCATATACCGTTTCATATCGTAGATTCAAGAATCGGATTCGAAGGCGTGTTTGAGGTCAGAAATATACGCGTCGGTAAATAAAAATATCGATATAAGGGGAAACAAATAGATGCTATGTGGACATATATAAGTTAAACTACGTAATATCAAATCGAATCTTGAAGTAAAGCAACATATATTTACAGTTGTACTATTTGATGAGTTTGGTGATGACGAAAATTCCGTCATTAAGAATAGAAGTATTCGATCTAAAATAAACTTATTCGAGAACTACTTATTTTATGTGGATCATTATGAATGTTTGTAAATACTATTTCATCTCTTCGTGAAATCAATCTTTGTAGATCACACGAGAAAAAAGGAAAAATATCGCTGCTATTCAGCAGTTTTTTCTCACCGCGGAGTCAGACCGTTAACGAAGATGTCGAACACCGCCTCAAACCGTGGTTTATGACGCCTTCATTAATGGTCTGGCTTTCGCGGTCCATCTGAGCCATTTAAAAACGTGCTTTCAAAACTCCATTCTCTAAATCCTTAAACACTCAGCTCTTCATTGGTGAATCGAGTTCGCAAGATAGTAGAACGCGGTTTAATCAAAACACGTTTATTGACTTCCAGAACACGGTATTCAAAATCACTAATAACCATGATATATCAAACCGTGGTGTTATAAAAAAAGACCGCTCATATCAACGGTTCTACTGAAATTTTTTTGTGGGTATTCTCCTATTAGCGATGAATCTGAACGACATTCATTTTCAGCACACGAAGATATAAAGGGAAAAGTTAAGAATATTTTTCCTCATTTATCTCTCGAATTACAATGTTGCCGATTATAACAATACTATGGATTATCTTTCAATAGTTTCTCGAAAAGATCAATCGATGCAAAACTACAAGCATGTAAACATCATTCCACAATTGTACTCGTTATGAAGAACAAATGAGTTTAGCTGTTGAATAATATGTGTAACATTTATCTTGAAGAAGGAGCTTAATCAAAAGAAGAAAAAGTGAATCGTGACGATTCTTTTGTATTTTACTGGATTGGTTTTTACACACACACTGACACTCTCAAGATTATTCACATGATAGAAGAACAACAGATATATAAGGAAAAAGTATTAATATTCTCCTTCTGTGAGCCAGAAGAAAAGAGTTGATAACAATCTATATTACAAGGCTGCGCTGGAACAAGCTATTTGGTTTGTTCAGGTTGCTCCATTTTTTTCAGTGTATTTTATATTCCATTATGAATGGTAATTGGTCTAACAATATTTATGACTATTCTTCTAGCAGACAATTTCTTTGAAATCCATTTAACACATTCTGGTAATAAACCAAGACATATCCAAGGTAATAAAAGATATAGCAGATAAATAAGTTCTGTTATATAATCTAATTGAATCTGAAGTGCAAATTCGGGTGAAATCAATTGTTGAACTAATGCAATAATAAGACTAGGTAGCCATGCTATTAAAAAAAGACTTGAAACACCCATTAGTTGTAAAGTCAATCGTCGTTGTTTTCGCCAAGTAATGATTTGTTGTCGTTGATATTTTTCTTTAATAACTCGCACTACAAGTGCAATATTAGCTACAAGAATAATAACAATCGGCAAACCATTATTTACTAACCAATCAAATGTACTTAAGACCTTATCATAGATAAAGTAACAATTTGCGAAACCACAACCATTTTCTGTAAAAATCCATTGAGTACCATCACAAGGATAAAAAATAATAGCAAACATATAGAATATGATTGGATATATAATACATAGTAGAAGAGGTGAATAATACAAAATATAACGTCTTAAACGTATTTGTAATAAATTTGGTTGAAATATAAGTATATGTCGTTGTATAGAGATGATAGCCGTAAGAAATTCACAGATTGAACTAAGACTATAGGCTAAAAATGTCCACCATGTAAAATAAGTTGATATTGCTGGAATAACATAATGAAAATAGAAGAAATGAATAGTCATTGGTATATCGGTTGATAATTTTATAAAATTAACAATAAGTAAAAGACAAATCGATCCATTTTNTTAGCTAAAATTGGATAATAGAAAAACGTGTAATAGTTCTTGGTACATGTGGTTTTCCATATATTTTGATTTCTTTATATCAACTAAATCTAAGTATTACTGCAGATGATTATATGAAAATAGCAATCATTACTCTATTATCAATAATATTTGCATCTCTGTTACATTTTAATTTCACGGTAAATTAAAAAAGATAGTTTATTTTAGTATTGTCGGCATTTCTTTTCACATTCACTATTATTCTAGATCAATTTTTATATTTTTATACTAATATCATCACGGTTTCGCCGTCAAGCAAAATCGGTTTTGGTAAAAAAGTGTTGGCGATCAATCCAACGGTGTCTTCACAAAATGCCAACAAATATTCGTATGAATAGAATTTCTCCTGGGAAACCTCCGCCAAATAGTTCTAGCAACACACCAGAATAATGTTTATTTTACGTGTAAAACCGATGTACATGTGTCAATCAAAATTTAAAAAAAAGACTTTTTAATTGCAAATTAGCTTAAAATTTGACCAATAAGAATTATCTAAAACAATTAAAATATCTAAACAATGTTAAAAGTAATTTAACACAAAAGTTTGCGTAAATAATCTTTATGATTAAATATTTCTGAATTGACAGGATGAACTTCATATGTCTCATTTGTTTTACATATGACGATTGTTAATACTTTACTGGTTATTTTATTTGTTGTTTTTATTTTTTCTTGTTAGTTAAATTATCACGTAAAGTTTTGAGTGATGTAAGTGATTTAAAAGAAATTGATTACTCACATGTAAGAGCGACTTATCAAACGCCAAAATGAAGATCGTGATTAAAAAGCAGAAAGTAAAGGAAGTCAAAAATATCCTGAAAAGTTGGACGAGATCTTTGATGACATAAATCTCTTGTGCCATATCGATTGGGAAACATAATTATCATTTGAGTTAAAATGATCCCTATATTCTTGGCCTTCGCAACAATAACACTCTTTAGTCACAGCATTGACTATTTCAGCACTTACGTAGAAATATCCAACTTAAGATTTTGACAATGTAGTTTAGTCATTCGACTTCAGATATACGTATAAATAACAAAAGAAAACGCGCCAAATCAATATATACGATGTACTCGATAAAACAGTCTTATATCTAGCTTTCCTCTGTTCCTATTAACAGTAATATCCGTACATTTATAAAATCATAACTGTCTATATTTTCTCCATCTCCCGTATACTGTTTCGTATCATAGATGCAAGAATAGGATTCGAAGGCGTGCTTGAGGTCAGAAATAGATGCTATGTGAACATATATAAGCAAAACGAAGTAATATCATATCGAATCTTGTAGTAAAGCAACGTATGTTTACAGTTGTACTATTTGATGAGTGTGATGATGACGAAAATTCCGTCATTAAGAATAGAAGTATTCTATCTAAAATAAACTTGTTCGAGAACTACCTATTTGATGTGGATCATTATAAATGTTTGTAAATACTATTTCAGCTCTCCATTGATAAATCGAGTTCACCAGCTAGTGATAAATATGATTGGCATTCATTTTTAGCACACGGAGATATAAAGGGAAAAGTTAAGAATATTTTTCCTTATTTATCTCTCGAATTACGATGTTGCCGATTAGAACAGTAATATGGATTATCTTTCAACAGTTTCTCGAAAAGAACAATCGATGCAAAATTACAAGCAGGTAAACATCATTCCACAATTGTACTTGTTATGAAGAACAAATGAGTTTGGCTGTTGAATAATATCTGTAATATTTATCTTGAAGAAGGAGCTAAATCCAAAGAAGAAAAAGTGAATCCTGACGATTCTTTTGGACTTTATTGGATTGGCTCTTACACACACGCTGACACGCGCAAGATTATTCACATGATAGAAGGACAACAGACACATAAGGAGAAAGTGTTAATATTCGCCTTCTGTGAGTCAGACGAACAGAGTTGATAATAATCTGTATTACAAGGCTGCGATGGAACAAGCCATTTTGTTTGTTTAAATTGCTCCATTTTCCCAATGTATTTTATATTCAATTATGAATTGCAATTGGTCTAACAATATTTATGACTATTCCTCTAGCAGACAATTTCTTCGAAATCCATTGAACACATTCTGGTAATAAACCAAGACAGATCCAAGGTAATAAAAGATATAGCAGATAAATAAGTTCTGTTATATAATCTAATTGAATCTGAAGTGCGAATTCGGATGAAATCAATTGTTGAATTAATGCAATAATAAGACTAGGCAGCCATGCTATTAAAAAAAGACTTGAAACACTCATTAATTGCAAAGTCAATCGTCGATGTTTTCGCCAAGTAACGATTTGTTGTCGTTGAGATTTTTCTTTAATAACTCGCACTACAAGTGCTATATTAGCTACAAGAATAATAACAATCGGCAAGCCATTATTTACTAACCAATCAAATGTACTTAAGACCTTATCATAGATAAAGTAACAATTTGCGAAACCACAGCCATTTTCTGTAAAAATCCATTGAGTACCATCACAAGGATAAAAAAAAATAGCAAACATATAGAATATGATTGGATATATAATACACAGTAGAAGAGGTGAATAATACAAAATATAACGTTTTAAACGCATTTGTAATAAATGTGGTTGAAATATAAGTATATGTCGTTGTATAGAGATGATAGCCGTAAGAAATTCACAGATTGAACTAAGACTATAGGCTAAAAATGTCCACCATGTACAATAAGTTGATATTGCTGGAATAACATAATGAAAATAGAAGAAATGAATAGTCATTGGTATATCGGTTGATAATTTTATAAAATTAACAATAAGTAAAAGACAAATCGATCCATTTTGACGAATTTTTAATCGAGAACGATGTGTACGAAAAAATATGAATATTAAGAGACTAATAAGAACTGCTGGAATTTCTAATAGAATTAATATGAAAAATTTTATTCGATGAAGAACGTATTTGTTTTCATTGAATATTTCTGAATTATTAAGATTCATTAGGAAAATGAAAAACAACTATTTTTTTCCTTTACAGATATACAAATGAATTTCATACTCAATAGAAACCTTTTTTTTATAATAGCCTTCAGAAAATGAACTGCCATTTCAAGTGACTTTTTAATTCCACTTATCTTCTTTAACAATGCTACCTACAAATTCATTAAAAATATTTAATGAACACTTCTGCATTAGAACTGTTTCGGTCAACGAGTTACGTCATTTCTTCTTTATAATCCTTGTGAACAAATGCATGTCATTCTAATGTCAATCTAGGAAAAAAGAATCTTATCATTATTGTTTATGCTACACTTATCACCAAACAGAAACAGAGGATTTAAAAGTTTATTCTGAGGTCATCGTATGTGCAGAATAAAAAAACATTCACATACTTACAGTCAACATTAGTAATGTTACAACTAGTCGTAACACAAAAAAAACAATTTACTAATATGAGTGATGTGTGTGTGTGTGTGAAAAGATAAAACAATACGTCAGTTTGGTTTCTGTTTTGACTCAAGTATCAATTGGAATAAATGCTCAAAATATTGAAAAGCAGCATTTTTTTCAGTCGATTTCAGTAAATACACACTTTCTATCAAATCTAATCATTTGAAAATGGCTTTAAACTGTATCACAACCAACTACTGTTCGTAAAATTGATCAATGACTATATAAAATTTTATATTAAACGTCGTTTAAGTCAACTCGAAAATATTCTCAGGTAAAAGTAGCATACTTTCTATAAAATGAGCTGCTTGATTTTCGATAGGTATTTTTCTTCAATACCACTCTATTCCAACTATTGGGTTGGCTAGAAAACGTTTGCGTTTTTTCGAAAATTTTCTTTTTATTTCTTAACTTCAAAAAATACAATTAGTTTTCAACAATATGACCTCCATCGTTGTCTATGACTTGTTGCCAACGTGTTGGTTAAGAAAGGATCTCATGTTCGTAGAAGTCTTGAGACTTTTGAGCGAAGAAGTAGGCCAATTCCGCTCTGAGGTCGTTCTCGTCGTCGAATTTTTTCTCGCCCAAATAATAAGAAAGAGAGCGAAATAAATGGTAGTCTGTTGGAGCCAATTCAGGAGAGTAAGGTGGATGTGGAAGTGTAATCCATCCGAGCTTCAGACAGTAGAGATCAGCAGTAACGGTGCAGCCAACAGGAAGAATTTCCCAATGAATAATTCCCTTGACGCCGCACCAAACGCTGAGCGTAATCTTCTTTGCATGAAGTTCATTCTTGGGCGGTGCTACGCCTACTTGTCCAGCTCCCAGGCACTACCGCTGCAACATGAACGCAGCCAAGTCGCTCTACTAAAGACCGTGTAATCAATCTAGGATCTTCTTCGATAAGCTGCTTCAAAGCATCCATATCCACCTCTATTGGTCTTCCGAAGCCAGGCAAAGCGTCGAATTCTAAATTACAATTTCTGAACCGATTGAACCAATGTTGCTAGCTGCGTCCGTTCCTTTGTGATTCAAACGAAATTCATGAAGCAAAAGCACTCGGAGCTCTCTTCGAGATTTCTTAAATTCTAATTCTTGATCGATGTCCATATCCATGATTTTGTTATTGTTCGAAAGAAATTCGTATCCGCTTTATATACTCACAATATGGAAACTTCTAGAGCTTTCTTGACTGTTCCAGGAAAATTTAAGAAAAAACACAAAAACTTTCTGGCCAACCTAATACAATACATGCCTGAAGAGAATAACATACTCGATGCAGTGGAATGGCAAAGTATTCACCTATATCACTGAGGAAATTGTCCTTGAAGACAGGTACAAAAAGTACTGGGAAAGATACCTAACTGCATTAGCAGGTAGTATGGATGGAGAGATGATGATCGAACTAGTGAATTTGAACAACTTTAGAGAAATGTGTAGAAACAAAGAAATTAAAATTAGTAGACTATTCATTTCTAAAAGATTCGTCGCTCATACCTCCCTATTAGAAAAGATAGTGACATGGTGCCACAACACACCTTCAGACGGCTCGGCACCGAGTTACGAAATTGATGATATCATAACTCTAGCAGATTTCTCCGAAATCTTCTAACAATTCTTCTTCCTTTCTATCTCTCTTCTCCATCTTCTCTTTTCTCTGCCTTAAGGAGAGGAACGGGAAGAGGAGAAGCCTGAGATCTTCCTCCTTTTATTTATTTTACTTTATCTTACATTACTGTACTGTACAGATCATTATATTACCTTAATTTTTGTATAATTTTGTGAATTGTGTAGATATTCTCCTTCCGCTATTACTTTTGTCTGTTCCTTTTGCTCTCCTTGGTCCCATTGTGGTGTTAACTTAACATCGCGGTCGTAAAACATATCTCTCGTTATACACTTTCGCTATTTTTCGCTCATCCTTTTAAGCACTGTATTATCAGGACCCTAGAAGTCATCAGTTATTGCAAACTAAAAAAAATTCGTAACGAACTAGTTTGGATTCTTATTAAATACTTCAATAATGTTCGATTTGTTCGTCAAACAAACTAATTTGATTATCGAATTAAAAAAGATCGTATATAGCAATGTCTATTGATCAATTTTGAGAAGTCGATCAAAAACGGCCACCACTATCACCACCAGTACCACCAAATGTTTGAGTTAATTTATATACTATTGAACATAATCCCATTAAATCAACAAAATCAAGACGGCCATTTTGATTTTTATCAACTAACAAAAATAACCCTTTTGCCAAATCTAAATAAAATGAAATTATTCTTCATAAATATCAATATATTTCCATATTTACATGGTGATACAAAACCAAGACCTATTTCTTGAAAATAAGTTTGAACATCTTCAATTGTAATTGTTCCATCTCCATTTCTATCAAATTTTTTGTATAATTCGTACATCTTCTGAGCATCATTGATTGTTGAAGCTGAATTAATTATCAATAAAGTTTCTCGTATTTTTCAAAATTCTTTCAGCTCACTAATATCGCCAAAGAGACCATTATTATCATTCTGTTCATCTTGTAAAAGACCTGAAAACAATTTATAAGTTTTGTATGCTGCTTGAATCATCGACAATGAATCGTCTTCATCTTTGGATCCAGAAAACTAAATGAAACATGATTAGATTCGAGAAAATACAATGTGTTTCAATTTACTAGACCAAAAACGGATTCACCCACGGACATTAAACGTGAAGATTCGCGAATTCGCTCTGCTTCTTGTCTTGTTTGATTTCGAAAACCATTGATGAAGTCATCCGCATTATTAATCCCTACTGCTTCTAGCATACTAAACAACGTTCCATTCTCTAGCTGTTCCCGACCGAAGTTCAACAGATCCGTTAACATCTCTGATTCAATCTAAACAAAGTCAACCAGCATACAAAAAAGAAGAAAAAAACTAACCGAAATCGGTAAGTGAAGAAACGATCGACGATGTATGCCGTGTTGAAAACGTGTTTGCCTTTAAAAAAACACTCTTCCTTCAACTCTCGATTTTTTTGTTTCGAACAGACATAACGAATAATTTCTCATTCTCAAGATGTAACGATTATGTGTGTGTTTCTTCATCATCAATGCGTAAGCTTCTTTCTGTAGCAAGGTTGCGATAATTTCTATTTCAACTCAACAACGAACACGATCTGATGGCTTTGTTTTTAAGCCAGAACAATTTTCAAAAAGGAATCGAAATCAGGGTGTGAAAATGTTCTTCTATCGCTTTTCACCCTCACTCTAGGTGGGCTTCGAGGGTTAGGATAACATTTAAGAGCTTGATTATGGTTGAAATCGTTAGAACTCGTCGAATTCTACTGGGAACCGGTGTGATCAGAGTGGAAACGCCTATTTCTGTATATCGGCTTTGGAAAAGGACGAATCTGGCGCTAAGGTATTCTACGTCTGAACAAGTCTATCAAAAACAGTCGATCAGAAGTTATCTTTAAAAGTTGTTCATCTTGATCCTCTTAGTCGCATTTTCTCATGACGCGTCTGTTGAGGAAAAACTAAGTGTAACACTATGGGATTGGAAAGAACTAGGACGAGCATATTGAGAGATCTATTTAATCGGGACTTATATTTAAATGAGCAGTAATAATACTAGGTGAGCAATAATATTATTAATTGGGCAATATTTTATTTAAATTAGCGATAAATCGTGTGTATAAGGAGCAATAAGCATCCAGATGTGAGGGTGCTGTTCATCTGTGCTGGACATTTCTTTCCTTGGACATATGTATTTACCATTAGCAAGATTCACAGTTGTTGTATTTTCAATAGTCAATAAATGGTCAAAAGAACGAAATCCTACACGTTTTAATGCAGAAACATTCGAACAAGAACCTCAGGTCACATTACCATATTGGACTGACGGATACAACTAGGTCATGCTAAACAAGGAAGTTATATCTATTTCAAAGGATGATCGCACGATTTATTTTATATCTGCTGGTGTTGAAACTGCAATTATAGATAAAGAACTAAAACTTCATGTAAATTGTAGATCTAATTTATTCGATACATATAAATCTGTTTATTTTAATATATGGCGCATATGTATATTTGACAATCCTGAAGAATGGAAAACAGCAACGCACACTTGTCCATCATTTCTTAAAAATCATATTTGTAAGTATGTCATCGGAATGTCTATCAGATTAAAATATTGTCAACCTCCACCAGAAACAAAAATATGGAAGTAGGCACAAAAAGGAAAAGAGGTAGACCATCGAAAGCAAGAAAAGCTTTATTGCTACAATAGTAAATTAATTACTCATTTTCATTTTTCTTATGATTCACTGTACAAATAAAAACTGGAGCTTTTCTTTTTCTTATTGCTAAAATGTGAAATTAATATTACTATTTGATGAATTATTTATTACTCATTTCATAATAAAAAACTGCTCAAAAATGATATTTTTATTGCTCGAAAATTATTGCTAATTTGTATTTAAATCATTGCTCATTTGAGTATTTTTATTGCTCAAATAAATACATGCCTTTAATCAGCAACACTCAATGTTTCGTGTTATTCTAGCTTTTAGTTAGATTTACATCGCATTTTTATGAACGTCTACGAAGAAATCGAAGTAAATGATGAAGATAACACATATAGAGAACAGAAAAAAAGATTTATGAGGAAAAACTGAGCAGAAGGTAAAAAGGAACGACAATATATAAGAATTATAATAACAGATGAGTTTCTTCGCTAAATAATTTCTATGATAAATATAAAATGTAAAACATACGCTTATCAGTTTGAATATCAGTTTCACTAACAGTTAGTTAGAAAACGACTATTACTCGGTTGATGCATTTGAAAAAAATGATGTATTTCTCTGCGATTATAATTATATATTTGTTGGTTTATAACATTTGTAATGGGTCTCGTCGAATGTACGAAACTATGCCTTCGAAAAACTCTATTGGTTTTGATTGTTTATATCATTGGGTTGCTGATAATAATAATTTACCAAAACTTAAAGCGGATACTCGTATTGTGGCTATACGTTTTTGTCGACAATCAACAATTCATACAGAAGATCAGTCATTATCTATTGAAAACTCAACAATTACCAATGGTAAACAATGGACATTTAGTGAGCTTCGCCAAATGAATATTTCAGCTCGTCAGTTAGTGGATTGGTATGCACCGTTAGATCTCATAGAAGAGTATTTATTAGAAAAAGAAATAGGAATATTTGTTAATTGTTCTCGAAAGAAACATTTCGGGCCGCGGTGTCAATATAGTTTTGATTCTGCTGAAGAATTGAAGGAAATCATATGGAATCAGTTTGATACTAAATATTATTCCCAAAATGATGTTTTATCGGTTACAAATGGAACATGTTACATGATACCCAATAATCAATGTCAATCCATTTTATGCTTGGATTGGCGTGAGATTTGTGATGGTAAGTTCTTTTGATCAATCTAATCCTATATACAATTCAATTAGATTTGTTTCATTGATCAAATTTTTTCTCAAATCAACATTTTATTTAGATAAAAAATCTTTTCTTAGTAAAAATCATATTTATTAAGCGTCACGCTTAGCTGAAGCAATATGAGAAACATCCGTTGTGATTTATCTTTCTTCTGAAAATCTGACGTTTCTAAGATACGTACAGGAAGATAAGGATAAAGCAGTTAATATTTAGTTTCTCAAAAACAATGTTGCACCGTTCGAATTAAATGCCAATTAAATCCTGTTCATAACACTTCTTTTGTATAGATCAATTGTGCAGAGGTTTTATCTCTTTTCTGATACGAGCGTAACGATAATACGATCTGACAGGACAAGCAGGAATGAATTATTCGAGAGAAAAATAGTACTGCATACACAGTGGTAGGTTTGAATTGAATGCAAACTTTCGAGTTCGGTCATTTTTTGAGCAATCGATAGGAGCGTGTAGAAATGAAATAAAAGAAGGAGTTTCGGAAATGTTTATAATAAGACTACATAAAGTAAAACAAACGTTTCAAAAACTGGAAGCTCAAAGATATTCGAAATAGTCGAGCCTGGACGTAAACTCACTGATGTCAAAACGAAAACTTAAATTCACTTCTAGTGCATGTCTACTCACTGAGCTGTAGTAACTGTCGAACGCATTAAGTTTAAAAAACCCTTTAATTAAAGCTTGACGTCCAAAGAGTACTTTAAACTTCAACAATAATGTTGAAGTCATCATCATCATATCCCATAGGCTTGGCGCCCGTTGGGTCCAACCATTTACGGGATCAGATTTTTCCATGCCCGTCTATCTTGCGCAAGGTGGAGCAAGTCGTGTCCACTACGTTGACACCATTCCGTTATGTCATCGAGCCACTCTCTGCACGGCCGTCCTCTTCGAGATTTTCCGTCCATTTGTGAAAATAGAACGTGTTTGATCAGCCTGTTATCTCCCA